TGATAACTAGCAGCTCACCTGTTTGATGATATATGTTAGCTCTTCAATTTCCACTGCTTTATCATCAAAAAGGGACTTGCGCTTTGCCACTGCAGAGACAACAGGAAATTACAACAGATGAGTTAAAAGGCTGGAGATTAGCTTATTGGCAGAGCACATGCAAGACACTGGGTTCAATCCCTAGCACCACAAAGCACACAAACACAGAAAAAGACAAAGCTCAGGGAGCACCCTCTCTGGTTCACTACCCCACCTCTGAAAGATCCCAAAACACTTACAGATTGTCAGCTTCTCCAGCTTGGAAAATGTGTTGCTGAGGTCTTTCCCAATGCGCCTGCAAACAATCACTAGTGAGAACACCGTGGAAAAGGCAGGAAATAGGCTATTTCCACATTAGTTCTAACAAAACCAATCCCAGCCCTCATGGCCAAGTCACCAGTCTGCATGCTTACTTCTTCCTTGGACATTATATCACCCCACCACAAATCTTATCTCAACTCACTTGGCCATGAGGGTAAATTCACTGCGCTGTCGGGCAGCACGCAGAGCCGGCTTATTTGTTTGGATTCCATTCTGAAAAGCAATGCCAAGAGGTGACAACTTAGCTCCCCACTACATATTTGCAGCTTTCACTGTTCACATGTCCAATAAACTCATTCTAGTACTAGAGGTATCTACCATCAGATAATTCATATTTATCAGTGGTATTTTAGCCGAAAAGAAGACAAGTAGACCTGGGTTCAAATGCTGACTTCACCACTTAGGAACTGAAAGATTTATGGTAAGTTACTTATTTTGAATCTCTATTTCCTCTTCTACAAAATGAAGACAACCTAACTACTCTTATTACTATTAAGATTACTATTAACATAAGGGCCATAAAGTACTATAGCCAACTGTCTAATACATTGTAAACATTAAAAAAATTGGGGAGAGGGCTGGGGATGTGGCTCAAGTGGTAGCACGCTCGCCTGGCATGCGTGTGGCCCAGGTTCGATCCTCAGCACCACATACAAACAAAGATGTTGTGTCCGCCGATAACTAGAAAAAAAAAATAAAAATATAAAAAAAAAAAATTTGGGAGAGAGTAAGAAAGCTAAAAGCTATGAATGAAAGTCAACATGAAACACTGTCAAAGACCCATACAGTTAATTGGGTCAGTAAATGGAAAGGGAACAGAAACTATTAGCAAAATAGTGACAGCAACATTTTATGAGTCACCAAGTGCTCATGCTGCACCTGATACTTCAGATATTAAAATCAGTTTGTTATTGGAAAAAAAAATTGGCTAGTACAGCCACTCTATCCTTGGAATCAGGGAATCAATGAGGAAACTAGAAAGTTCCTGGAGATCACAAAATTCTTGGAGAAAAATTGTTAACAAAAGCTGAAATTTAAAAGTATTTTAAAATACAGTTACTCAGGCTGGGCACAGTGGATTATGCCTGTAATCCCAGCAACTCAGGAAGCTGAGGCAAGAGGATCACAATTTCCAGACCAGCCTCAGAAACTTAGTGAGGTCGTAAGTAACTCAAAATAAAAAACAAAAAGGGCTGGGGATGTAGCTCATTGGTAAAGCACCTGTGGATTCAATCCCCAGTACCAAAAATTTTAACAAGTTACTCAGGACTCACTTGGATTAACAAAGTCTTTACTGAAACAAAACTCTAGCTGGACAAAGTAGCACACGCCTGTATTCCCAATTACTATAATCCTGGCTACTCCAGAAGCTGAGGCAGGAGGATCATGAGTTCAAGGGCAGCCCCAGAAACTTAGAGACCCTGTCTCAAAATAAAATTCAAAAAGGGAGAGGGATGTAACTGAATAGCAGAGTGTGTTCCTGGCATGTACAAGGCCCTGGGTTCAATCGCCAGTAACACCAACAAAACAAAACAAAACCCTCCAAAGTGATTTTGGTAAAAATTACTGATCTAAAAGACTTATTTCCGAGCATGCTACAGGGACACTGCTACATCGATGTTCATAGCAGCACAATTCACAATAGCAAGACTGTGGAACCAACCTAGATGCCCTTCAATAGATGAATGGATAAAAAAAATGTGGCATTTATACACAATGGAGTATTACTCTGCATTAAAAAATGACAAAATCATAGAATTTACAGGGAAATGGATGGCATTAGAGCAGATTATGCTAAGTGAAGCTAGCCAATCCCTAAAATACAAATGCCAAATGTCTTCTTTGATATAAGGAGAGTAACTAAGAACAGAGTAGGGTCGAAGAGCATGAGAAGAATTTTAATATTAAACAGGGATGAGAGGTGGGAGGGAAAGGGAGAGAGAAGGGAAATTGCACGGAAATGGAAGGAGACCCTCAGAGTTATACAAAAGTACATACAAGAGGAAGTGAGGGGAAAGGGAAAAATAATACAATACTGACAAATGAATGTCAGTAGAGGGGGCAGAGAGAGAAGAGGGGAGGGGAGGGGAGGGGGGGTAGTAGAGGATAGGAAAGGCAGCAGAACACAACAGACACTAGTATGGCAATATGTAAATCAATGGATGTGTAATTGATGTAATTCTGCAATCTGTATATGGGGTAAAAATGGGAGCTCATAACCCACTTGAATCAAAGTGTGAAATATGATATATCAAGAACTATGTAATGTTTTGAACAGCCAACAATAAAAAATTAAAAAAAAAAAAAAGACTTCTTTCCTTTCCCTGACCCTCTACTATACACATAGAAAAACTGAGGCCCAATTGAATTAACTAGGTTCCCCATGGTGGCAGAGCAAACTTGTGTAGTACACTAGAATTAGAATCCAAGGTGCATGTGTCTCAACTAAAAGCTCTTTCTAGAACTTGTTCATTATTCAAATACCTTAGTCACCTTTATCCGAGGTATTCCTTCTAGAATAACAATCCTACTACTCTCTAGGGAATTCCTTACCAATTAAAAAAAAAAAAAAAAAAAAAAAAGTCTGGGTCCTTGCCTTCCATTAACAAGTCCACTTTTTGTGGCTTAGTAGGTCCTATGGACCCTATCCAACCTGTCAGCATCAGGTTTCCCCAAAAATTATTTCACTTAAAAGTGCTGGAATATACCCCCAACCAGGTTTAGTAGGGCTCATTCTTGCCTTTCCCACTCCTTACCTGACGGCTCTGCAGCGACTTGCAGGCAGACAGGAACTCCTGTGTCCGATCCCGGCAGGACATGGTGTCAGGAAGGGGAGGGACCAGGACCACTGGAGGGGGCAGAGGGGCGATGTCGCTGCTGCTACTGCCAGCAGTTGCAGGGGACAGGACCTGTGTCTTTGAGAGACCCAGGTAGACACCCTGATCCGTGTTCTTAGACCCGTAGCGTTTCCGCGGGATCATCGAGTCGCATAACCTCGGACTGTCATGAAGGGGAGAGTGTCATTCCCCAGGAAGCCTCCTTCTCCACAACTCCCCCCTCAACTAGCAAATCCTCTGGCCCTTCCTGCATTTGGCAGTCTTTCGCGCCCAAGGCCACCCGCGGATCCTGGGACCTGCCTGCTGTGGGAAAGGGCCTGTTTCCTCCTGGCCCAAGGCGAACCCTCTCAGACTCTTCTTCCAACTTGGCTCAGGCGGCCAGAGCGCGGGCCGGGGTCCTGAAGCCGAGGGAAAGCCAGAGCCCGGTCCCGTGGCACCAAGGCTCCAGCCTGGCCTGTGCAACTGTCCCGGGAGATAACGGGGCCCTCTCCTATCCGCGATTTCCTTCAACCCCTCAGTGGGAAACCGCGAAGGACCCCCGAGAGCGGACACACTTCGGTGGGCGGAGGGGGAAACCTCTAGGTGTTTATTTCAAACAGGAAGTCCCACCCCCTATAAAGTTCCGCCTTCTGGAAGACTGCAACCCCTGATTAGCTAATGCCGACGTCGTTCTCCACAGGGCTTTCCTGGTTGGACGGCGAGGTATTCGCTCACCAGGAGCCCGGCCGGCAGGACTTGCCCGCTCGCCCCCGGTTCCCTTCCCCCCCCGCTCGTCGCCGCCCCCGTGAAGCCACCGTCCCGGAGCTGACACGGCGGCCAAGCCCCTCTTAGAGCGGGTCCTACCTCCTTCCTACCGCCTGCCGCCGCCGTCGCCACTGCCACAACCTCTTCGGCCGTCACCGCCTCCTCCCGGGGCGCTGGAGCCGCCGAAACCCGACCAAAGACTAGGAGCCGCCACGTCACCTACACGTAACCCCACCCCCGTGACGAAGGGCTACGCCACGCCTTTCCCAGCCCGGCGAGCCGGGACACGCCCCCTGCCGACGCAAGCGCGACTCCACCCTCCCATTGGCTAGGCCGCCTCCGTGACCCCACCCCTGAGGAGTGAGAGCGGACCCCCGGGGGGCGGGGGGGGGAAATGAGCCAGCCTCAGGCGAGGAGCCTTAAAGAGCCCAAGGCCCGCGGAGCCGGTTGTAGAGGCACCAGTGCTTGGGCAGGCCCACATTAGAAATTTTATTCTCTGGAGGCTGGGGCGGACGGAGAGCAGGTTTGAGTTCACCCCTTCTCTGGCTCATCCTGGTCCTCCTCTATTGGATACCCCGGCCTTTGAATCTGGTCTGAATGCCTCTTGTTTGATGACCGCGAGGAACCACGACGACTGAACATAGATAGCCGCCTCCATAGCACGGTGATCAGAAGACTTTCATTAGACTTGGGATTCTGGCGGCCTGGGGAATCCAAATCGGCTTCTGACGCGCCTATGGGGCTGAGGCTAAGCTTAGCCCCACCCTACCCGATCCAACCTCCTTAGTGGGCCCTAAGGGGCACCCCCAGCTCTAATCCCACCTTCCCCAACTTCATCCGACCCGCCATCCTTTCCCTGATCATCCGAGGTCTGAAAATCCTTGTCTTGGCAGCAGCCCATGGCCCCGCGCGGCAAGGTGCTACTCGCGCTACCGCGCTACCGCTGGCTCCGGGGCCGCTTTTGTGACGTCAGATATCCCACTGCCTCAGCTCAGGAAGCCCCCACCCCAAGCCACCCCTCTAACTTCTCCTATCACAAAAGGTTCAGATCACAAAAGGTGGGAGTTGAGCTGTTTATTTACAAAATGGGCACGGGGTTTTCAGGGGCTAATGGACTTCTGCTGCTTCTTTTTTCTCTGTTTGGTTTGGAGAGCTCCTTGGGTCTGGTTCTGATCAGGTAGTTTTCCTCTTAGCAGCTGCCTCCAAGGATGCCCAAAGTTCATCTGTCTCTGTGTCTTCTGAAGGTACCTTGTTGATCTCTTGAGGCTCTTGGGGCTCATCCTGGTGAGTCGAAAGAAAGCTCAGGGGTCAAAAAATAGGGAAGCTCCAGCTGGGAATCAATTCCTCTGGGCACCAACACCACCTATATCTCCCAGAAACCACTGTCACCATGCTCTGCAGTGTATCACCCTTTATGATAACCCTGTCAGAATTGTAACTGTTAACACCCCACAGAGAGAAATTGAGTGGCATAGCAGTCCTAGATCTGTGTTCCAGCTGCCTTCTTTTTCCTTTCCATAGGGAAATCCTCACATCCATGCCCTTAGCTCCTACTTTCCCAGACCGGACTGCTCACCTCCCAGGTATCCCTGCCAGACAAGAGGAGGCAATTCAGTCGAGACTTCAGATAAACCTGCAAAAAGAGGAGGGACCTTGTAGGGCCCGGGCAGGCTGAAATACATAGAAGCATCAAGGGGTGAGGGCCAGAAAGTTTGAGCTCCCACCTTATGCTCCAGGCCTCGTGGATTCCGGATCCTGTGTATCCTCAGGACTCTGTCTAAGCCACAAGAGGCTAGTAGGGGCTTTGAAGGGTGGCACTGCAACCCACGGACACTGCCTGCCAGTCCCTTCAGACAGCCCAGTAGGCGCCCTAAAGAAAGCAATGGCATTGGTGCTAGCTCGCCAGCTAACCACCGTTTATTCAGTGTTTACTGTTCAGACCACTTTCTATTTTAACGTTTAATCCTCAATATAACCAAGAGTTACCAATAATATTTCTATTTTACAGGTGAGGAAACTAGGGCACAGGAAGTTAAGTAATTAGTTCAAGGTCATACAGCTTTTGTTGAAACAGCATGTGAATCCAGGCAATCTGATGTCTCCATGAGGGTGCAATGAATCCCTATACTACCTGTTAGAGGGAACCCTGACTTTTTCCCTTCCCCCAAATCCCCTAGTCCACTCACCTTGTCGAAAGTCAATTTCTGCCAGTTGCCCATGAGTGTTCCCTACGATAACAGAGCTGAGAAGACCAGAGGCAAGGGGTCAATAGGAAGCTCTTGAATCCTTCCCAAGCCCCACTCCAACCCCTCTAATCACTCACTTGTCCCCAGGAGTGAGAGTCATGGCTGTCAGTGGGTACTCGCCATACGTGGTCTCTAGAACTGGCCGGCGCTGCGGAGAGGCTGGATCATAGACTCGGACCTAGAGAGGAAAACTGAGGCATCACAAAAGCATCCTTGCCCTGCATACTGCCTCCTGGCATCTCTCTATGCTCATCCTTTCTTCTGAGCACTGCTTTCTTGTTCCTGACCCACCCTCAGAGAAATGTTCTCATTGGAAACACAAATCTGAGTGTTGCTGGGGTGAGCAGAGCTGCTCAGGAGCATGAATGGATAGGGATAATGGGGAGAGGTCCTCCACAACAGGGAATGTGAGCATTCTGTCCCTCCATTCTCCCATCTAGGAGTGGAGGAATGGAAAAGCAAGTTGGTCCAATAATCAGAGGGAGCTGAATTTCAAGCAGACATTTAGCATGAATGAGGGAGGAGCAAGGAAGTCCCCGTAAGTAGATTAAGCAGAAGTATGTCATCAAGATCATTCCTAAGTTTCAAATAGTGACCCAGTGCTCCCTGGGTTTCAGGGCTTCAAATGAGACAAGCCATAAAGATCCCTAATAGAGCCTTTCAAGCAAAGCTGAGGAGCTGAGGCAGGAGAGGGGAGGGCAGGCCTGTGTCCCAAAGCAAATCAGAGAAGCTTTGGGACCAGAATTCTCTTTTTTGACACCCAGCCCAATGTCCATCCTTGACACTTGTGCCCTGTGGAACCCACTGTGAAGGGGACACTCCCTTCTCTTTCTCTTTCACATGGGAGAAATAGAGCTGTGGTTGAGCACATTCATCCTAGAATGCAGTAAAGGAAGGCCACAGGCTAGCACCAAGGCTCAGATGGATGGGGAGGTGTACACTCTCCTGAGAGCTCCGGAGGGAAGAAGGACTGAGAAGTGGCTGTGCCACACCACAGCAGCCCATTTTGCCCATAGTAGCTGTTTTATTAAGAAGCTGCCTCAGCCCAGGTATGGGCAGGGATGAAATGGTGCCTCACCTGGTGGTACCCTGTGCATGTAATGAGCTTCTGTGATCCAGGGAGGAACTGTATATCCTGGTCCCAGATGGGAACCCGAAGGTCTAGCCAGTCATTCCGCACCTGGTGTTAAAGGTGAACAGGGGATAGGATGGAGGTAGGTTCGAAGTGCTACCAGTTTTAGCCCTCCTTTATCATCCCCTAAAGTCCATCTGGTCTCTGATCAGTAAGTGGCTTCAGATTCCCTATCCCATCACTCACATTCTTGGCCCTGAACACAGGCTCCTCAGATCCCTGCAGGTCCCACACCTTCAAAGCATTCTCCTTCCCACCTGTGGCAACTATATGGGGTCGTGCTGGGTCTTGGCGCATCCTACAAACCCCAGGACCAACCCTCAATTCCAGAAGCTGAAAAGAATGAGAGATGAGTCAGTTCCAGAGTTCTTAATCTTTCCTCCCCCAAACCCCTCATTAGGCTCCTAATGCTAACTTTCACCCTCCCCAACCATCAGAGTAGGGAACCTTACTGGGTCAGAGGATGCTTCCTTATCATTGTCACGCCAGACTCTAAGTATGCCAGAATCTACACACGTGATGAGGGTGCTGCAAACAGGGAAGATACAGTTGGGATTTAAAAAAAAAAAAATGTGTTCTCCAGGCCCCAGCTGACACACCTCTAAATTTCTGTTAACTAGACCCCATCCTAACAGCCCAGTTTATATGCTTCACATATGCCAGGCAAGCGCTCCACCACTGAGCTACAGCCCCAGCCCCCAACCTCAAGATACCTGGGGTCTATGCAGGACCTAACAGCATCCAGTTTACCTGTCAACTCAATTTAGTCAACAGGCAGGAGGTTACCAGTTTTATGAGGAAACTGGAGGCTCTGAGAACTTAAAACATTTGCCACTCAGCTAGGACTGAAAATCAGACCCAGACCTGGAAATCAAATTTGTGATACTTCAAAGCAGAGTTCTTTTCCTATTCCTCAGCTAAGTTGGGGTACCTGGCCTTTATGGTCTTCCTGATTCTTGAGTTGGTTCCTAATGGAGTTGGAGTGGGAGTGGGGTAGGTTCAGGATCATTATCTCAGAAAGGACTGAAACAAGACTCATCCAGTGGTCAACCATTGAGCTACCCCAGGTTCTATTCTTTGTGTGTGTGTGTGTGTGTGTGTGTAGTTGTAGATGGATAGCATGCCTTTATTCTATTTTTATGCAGTACTAAGGATTGAACCCAGTGCCTCACATATGCCAGGCAAGTGCTCCATCACTAAGCTACAGTCCCAGCCCCCAGGTTCTATTCTTGAGTTCCCTGTTTTTTGGGTTCTAATGTCAGCCTCTCCCTCAAAATATCTCTCCCAAGAAACCCAAGGTATTCTCTTCCCAGTATCCACACAGCCTCGGCCTACATTCATCTTCATATCTGCCCACCCTCTCTTCCTGGGTTCAGGCTCTGTATTATTTGCCTGAGCCCTGGCAAGAGTCTCCTAATTGCTTTCTCCAGTCCTCTACACTCCTACAGGCTCTTAGCTCCACAGCATTTCCCACTCAAAGCCCAATAATTCCCACCATCTACAAAATGAAACTGCAAATCTCTCAACCTAACACTTAATACATTTAAAATACATTTAAAGCCAGTCATGGTGGTACACGCCTGTAGTCCCAGCAGTTTAAGAGATTGAGGCAGGCGGATCACCAATTCAAAGCCAGCCTCAGCAAAAGCAAGATGCTCAGTGAGACCCTGTCTCTAAATAAAATACAAAATAGGGCTGGGGATGTGGCTCAGTGGTTGAGTGTCCTGGAGTTTGATCCCTGATACCGACCACCCCACCGCCCCACTCCCGCCCCTGCCCCCCCCCCCAGAAAATTCTACCCATCTTTCAAGTTTCAGTTCAAAACCACCTTGCCCCACGGAACCTTTCCAGACCTCACTTGTCAGAATCAACACTACCACCAAACAAAAGCAGCCTGTCCACAGCCTTCTTTCTTCATCTTGGGAAAAGGCTTGGCCAATTACCTAAACATCAGACCTTCCTATCCTTTATTCTGGGAGCTTCATCACCTTGCTGGTGGTTCGCTCCCATTTAAACGCTTGCTCAAAACCATTAAATGACTTGCCCAGCATTTTGAGCAGAAAGTCACACTGGATCTCAGAGGGAAAACCCAAAGGATGCACACTTAAGGAAGGCAGAAACTTCACCCGCAGCCCTTGCTCTTTGAGTAAGGAACTCAGTAGATATTCAATAGACGTTATAAGAATGCACGAACTGAAGGCAGGAACCCAGGTCCCCGTCACCCAACTCAGGTCCTTGTCACCTAAGAGCGTAACGACATTATTCCGTCGTCCTAGGAGCCTCGACGCTCTCCCTGAGCCCTGAGCGTTCGGCGAGGGGACCTGACTTACCCGTCGGCTTGGGCGAGGCCTCGGAAGGAGCCCTCCCCTCCCGGACAGTGCCTCTGGCCCTGGAACGTGCCCTCCTCGGTGTTGAAGTGCCTCACCTTTCGGTCCGCGCAGCCCACCAGGATCTGCAGACACAGGGGCGTGATGTCCAGGAGAGCGAGGCTGCCGCCTCGCGGCCCCCAACTCCGGCGCAGCGAGGGCCACTGACCTGGGTCTCGCCGCCCGCGCCCCAGCACAGGGCGCTCACCGCCTCCTCCCGCCGCGGCTGTCCCGCCGCCGTGAAGTTCGCCGCCTGTTTCCGCTGAAGGTTCACCCCTGCGGGACGAGGGTGTCAGTCGCGCAGCGGTGGCAAGCGAGCGACCCCTCTACTTCCCGATTTCCAGCACTGACACGTACCTTTCAGGATCCCAGTCTCAGTACCGACCCACACGTGGTTCCAGCGCGCTGCGGAGGGCGCCATGCCACAGCCCGTGGCCGACCGCTAGTACTTCCGGCGCACAGTGTGCGTCATCAGTCAGCGCAGGCGCCGAGACCCACTGGGTAGTTTCCGGAGAGGTGGAAAGCTAAAAAAGCCAAGGTTCCTGCCTGCGCACTGTGTTTTGTTTCATGAAAACGAAATCAGGCTCGGCTCGGGTGGCGCATGTCATCCAAGCGATTCAGGAGGCTAAATCAGGAGGATCTCAAGTTTGAGGCCAGCCTCGCAACTTAACAAGGCCCTCCCTGAAAAAGAAAGAAAAGGGCTGGGATGTAGCTCCGTGGGTAGAGAGCCCCTGGGTTCAGTTCCCAGTATCACACATAAAAACAAAACAACAAAAAACCGAAATCAGGATTCGGGAGATGCTGGTTTAAAGGGGTCTTTTTTATGCTTGGACTAAATGCATTCTGCTGTCACAGATACCTAATTAGAATGCATCCTTCCTGGACTCTGATGCTTGATAGAGCCAGCCCTAGTCCGTCTCCCTGCTTCGTCAGGAAGTCTGTTTGGAACAATTTATTGGAGAAGAAAACTTTAGAAACGACTCAAATCATTAGTGAGGTGCATGACCTCATTCTCAAGTGCAAAATACACCAACTAAATAAGGAAAAGTCTCTGATAAGTGGATGCTGATTCATAATGTGGGGGTGGGGCATGGGAAGAATGGAGAAACATTGGGCAAAGGGGAGGAAGGGTGGGAGGCAGGAAAGATGGTGGGATGAAACGGACATCATTACCTTAAATACATGAATGACTGCGCTTATGGCGGGATTCTACATCATATACAACCAGAGAAATGAAAAGCTGTGCTCCATTTGTGTACAATGAATCGAAATGCATTCTGCTGTCATAGATACCTAATTAGAACAAATAAACATCATTTTTTAAAAATAAGGAAAAGTGGGGATGCAATCGATGATCTTATAAATGCTTACTTTGAAAAAGAAAAAAAAGGGCTGGGGATGTGGCTCAAGCGGTAGTGCGCGCGCCTGGTGCGTGCGGCCCAGGTTCCATCCTCAGCACCACATACAAAGATGTTGTGTCCGCCAAAAACTAAATAAATATTAAAAAATAAAAAAAAGAAAAGTAAAGGTTCTGACTTACCTTATTTATTTATTTATTTATTTATAGCCGTTGGAATTACAGGCCTGTGCTGGGGCTTTGATTTTAATACCTCAAATTGAAGCTTCATGATGATAAAAATTGTTTCAAACTTGGTGCATGCCTATAATTGCAGCTATTTGGGACACTGAGGCAGGAGGATCACAAGTTTGAGGTCAAACTCAGCATTTAGTGAGGCCCTAAGCAACTTAATGAGACCATGCCTGAAAGTAAAAAATAAGAATGTGGCACAATCGTACAGTACCCCTGGGTTCGATTTCCAGGACCCCTACCTGTCAGAGACGAGCTCCAACAGGGGGTCTCAAGAGACAAACGGATGGTGAGGAGTTGTTGAAATGGGGGTGGAGAAACAACACAGACACCAAAGTGAAGGTGCTGAATCCCAATCTTTACTTGTGAAGTTAATCATATATACTTTTCATTTCAGCAGGCTCACAGTACTTTGTGGTTACAAAACAGGAATCATTATTCAAAGAAACAAAGTATTACAAGTATTACGTAGCTACAATTAGAATAGAAGAATGTATCTTGGCTTATGCATAAGCAAGCATTTTTCCTTTCAGTTTGCATTTTGCTTTGAGCTGTTTCTGCTTAGTTAGAAATGTCCCAGACTATTGGCCTATACCTTGACTATTCTTTCTTAACTTACTGACTGGAACCGGTGCCACAGTTATGGCAAGTGGTTAACTTGAAAAGAGAGGCTACTAATTTTAATCAAACAAGAGTAAGAGCACAGGGCTGGGGATGTGGCTCAAGTGGTAGCGCGTTCATCTGGCATGCGTGCGGCCCAGGTTCCATCCTCAGCACCACATACCAACAAAGATGTTGTGTCTGCCGATAACTAAAAAAAAAAAAAAAAAAGAGTGCACAGGAACAAGTTGCCCAGTACTAAGCACTAATCTATCTTCTTAACATTAATTATTCTTCTCTAGATTTTAATTTAATTTCTGACAAATTTCCCTGACAGGAATACAGGGAGTTTTTCATTAAACATTAACAATTTACGCTCCACAGCTGATTCATTGCATTTAGAGCAAACAGATCTATTCTTTAGAAGTAGTTGCATTAATTGGGAAAGTCATGTTTTTTCCTTCATACTTAATGGTCCTATGAGAAGTCACAACTATACTTATTAAAGGAATACAGAAACAAACCAGCCCATTCCCAGAAACACTGCGTTCCTCCAGAGGATGGACACCTTGAGTCATCCACCTCAGTAGGGCCTTGCCTTTGCCTGAGTCAGGGGAGGGGCGCAGCACCTACCACCACCAAAAAAAAATTGGTTCAAATTTAGCACAAATCTGCGAAATTAAAAAGGTTTTCCTCCCAAGCTGTAAAATGCCAATAATATCCCCCTATTGAGTGACCACTGCTCTCTTACTGAGAAACTTTGTTCTCTGAAATCAGACTGCTGCAAATGTTGCTGTTTGAAATTATATCAGGGACCTGTGTGGTGGCACACACCTGTAATCCCTGCTGCTGTAGAGGCTGAGGCAGAAAGATAGCAAGTTCAAAGCCAGCCTCAGCAACTTAGCTAGGCCCTGTCACGAAATAGAAATGACTGGGGATGTGGCCGCAGTGGTTAAATGCTCTTGGATTTAATCCCCATTACCAAAAAAAATTAATGAAATTATATCAGTAAGAAAAGCATCCCATTCTTGCCTGGTGGGTCTAAGTCTTTCACACACAGACACACAGAAAAGTCTTGATTTGTATTGTAGTTCAGATGCACAGCTTTAGGTAAGGTTTGTTTTGTTTTTTGGTGGTGGTAGTTTTGTTTTTCTTAAAATTCGTTTTGCTTTTGGTACTGGGGATTGAATCCGGGGGCACTCTGCCACTGAGCTATATACATCCCCCAACACTTTTTATTTCTTATTTTTGAGACAGGGTCTCACTAAATTGTCTCAAACTTGCAATCCTCCTGCTTCGCCTCCAGATTACCTGGGATTACAAATGTGCACCAGGGTACTTGTTCAGATAACATGAGTTTCTGAGCACAGCATTCCATGTATCTTTGTGTGGGGGTTGCTGGGGATTGAATTTGTGCATGGGAGGCAAAGCACTCTACCAACTGAGCTATGTCCCCAGCTATATATATATATATATATATATATATTTTTTTTTTTTTTTTTTTTGGTAACTTCTTGCTGTTTAGCAGCTCCCTTCTCTCTAAGAAGGTAAACTCTTTAGAATCTTGTTTCGTTTTATGGCTCTATCTTCAGGCCTTAACACATATTTTCTGAATAGCACACCGAAGAGGCAGGGATAACGTTAGCCTGGGCTGAAACTTCCTAGGAGAAAGACCTTCAAGGATCATGTGGAGTGAGAGAAGCACTCAACATCCCCCAGTATCCATAAATGGTGAAGCTCCAAAACATAAAACTCAGACAGATTTTTACACATGACCTAAGTGTAGTATGGCATCCATCCCTGTGGTCTCTGCTTCCCACACACACACACAAATCAACGAAGCTGTTGTTCACAATACTTGTCAAGTTCTTATTTTAAAACTAGTATAATTCCCCCGAAAGGGGGTGCACCGTTCCTGGAAGTACTGCAATACCAGGTCGATGCGTGGAGTGGACGGAGCAAGCTCCTATTCCATCTCCTGTTTCCAAAAATCCATTTAATATATTGTCCTCGGATAGAGGACGTATCAGATATTAAACTGATAAGAACAGATACTACACTTGATCTTAGCCAAAAGGCCGAGAAGCGATACCCAGTAGCTTGCTTCCCGGGAAGCTTGGGATGTGCAGTCCCTTTTTCAGGTATGGTGATTTTCCGAGTCGAAGACTAAATTGCCCTTGAATATGTAATATTCCTGATAATCAGTTTTTTCGCTATGATTATTTTATATAGGCACTACAAACCTTAAATTTGGTCCTTTAATGCTTTGCTCACTTGCTCCCTGAACGTTGTATTTTGCATAAACCCGCCCCCTCGCTTTTTTAACTTCCTGGGATTGGTCTACAAACGAGTCCGGTGTCAGTGCTCGGTGATCTTGTTCCGTGGGTTAGTCTCCTATACCGAAGATTTTGGGGGAGCTTCCTGGGGCGGGCAGCCGTCTCAGGCCTCTCTCATAGGGGCAGGTACTGGGGGAGTCCCCATGCAGTTTCAGAGATCGGGTTTTGGAGCCTTTGGAGCCCAGAAAACTGTGCTGTGATCCCTGCTCCCCAGTACCTCATACAGAGAGCTTAATGAATTCCATTGTAAGATTGGGAGCCATCTCATCACAAAGTCATGAAAAGTTCATTTCTGTTTTAGTATAAAATACTGAGATTTAGGGCTGGGATTGTGGCTTAGTGGTAGAGCGCTGGCTTAGCACACGTGAGGCCCTGGGTTCAATCCTCAGCACATAAAAAATAATATAAAGATGTTGTGTCCAACTACAACTAAAAAATAAATATTAAAAAAAAAATGCTAGGTCTGGGATTGTGGCACAGCGGTAGAGCGCTCCTCTAGCACGGGCGGGACACGGGTTCGATCCTCCGAACCACATAAAGATAAAGGCATTGTGTTGTGTCCATCTGCACCTAAATAAATAAATAAATAAATAAAACTACCCTGTATTACGTTTGCCAGAACCCTGTTAGCTGTAAATTCCCAAGACACCTCCCTTTGTAACTTTTTGTGCTATATAAACATTTTCTTCCCTGAGATCTGGGCTGTTCTCCAACCCAGTTTTGAGTGAGACAGCTGCTGGCCAGCTACCTCTCTTGTGTATACAACATAAGCTTGCTTTAATTTGATTTAAATTTGGAGTCGGTGATCTTTTCTTTGCATTGTGGGTTCAACAAGCTGAGGACGGTCAAGGAGGTTGCTTTCCCGCCTTCACTTTCTCCCTTTATTTCGGTGCTGGGAATGGAATCCAGAGCCTACTCTGCTAGCTAAGAATAGCTAGGGAAGTGTTCTGCCATTGAGCTAGGATCCC